TTTTTCCAATTCAGGGATAGAATTATCAGTTAGATTAACAGAAATGTATTTATATCTTTCTCCTGGTTGAAATTCTAAGGTACCAGCAGCACTCTGAAATGCAAATGAGAGATTTATCCATTAGATTATAATTATTCTGTATGTGAATGTACAAAATGAGAGTGTTCTCTGTCCAAAATTATTTTAAATACTGAAACAGAAGAACCTAAGTAAATATAAAATTAGAAATACTGAAGTAAATACATATAGTGTTAAATATAAATTCCAACTAAACATTCCCCAACTAAATAAAATAAAAAATTTTTCTTTCTTATTTGCCTATTCATAAAAAATATAATCCAGGCAAATGAGAAATATAAATTTCTGAAGAATTCCATGAGATGACCAAAATTCTCTTGAACAAGTATGTTTAGAATTACTTAAATTATATAACTGAGTAATTTAAATATATAATACATAATAATAATGGCATTTCTGTCCTGAGAGTTTTTCCAAGCAATAATAAATATGGGTCCATTGGACATTAACTTTTCCTTGTCTATACTTGAAACTGCACTGTATAATATAGGTCTCCCATATTATAGATCTTCACATACTATAAGAAACAAAACGTTATTTAAATTCAGTCTTAAGGCCCTTTTTTCTATTTCTTATATAAGCATTTTCCCCTAAACTTATGAGCATACATTTTTATATTAAGTTTTTCTAATGCCACCTTGTGTAACATATATATCATCTTATTGAACTATTAATGATATCAAAGGTAAAATGAGCAACCCAAGTACCAACTCCCTTAATCACGCATTCATTAACTTTTTTAATATTTATCAAACATATATAGCATGTGCATGGCACCATTTTCGATACTTCAAATTCAAAAATAGTCAAGACAGCCCAGCCAACATGGCTCAGTGGTTGAGACTCTACCTATGAAGCAGGAGTTCATGGTTCGATCCTGGGTCAGGGCACATACCCAGGGTTTTGGGCAGTAGGGGGCATGCAGGAGGTAGCCAATCAATGATTATCTCTCATTGCTGATGTTTCTATCTCTCTCTCCCTCTCCCTTCCTCTCTGAAATCAATAAAAATATACATATTTTTTAAATGGTCAAAACAAGTCTCTAACTCCATCAAGAACATTCCAGAAGAAGTGTAAGTATGTGATCCAATAATTCAAACAGAGTAACAACTGCAATAAAAGGCACATAGTTAGCTCAAAAAAGGAAGTTATTAACTTTTCCAGGAGTATAGTTGTCAGTGGGGTAATTCTGCAAGTCTTAACAGAAATAACATGTGACTGTCTTAGGAAACCATCTTTCTTGACCTTAGCAAATCTTACACAATTGGCCACTTCCTCTTCAGGAAACATGTTCTTCTCCATATTCCACCATATCCCACTCTCCTGTCTTACCTTTTTAGTGTTGTTTGTCAATTTTAGCATTCTCCTGTGATCTCTAAAAATTGCTGTTCATCAGAATCTAAACTCTCTCCTTAGACAAAACTATCATACTCTAGGCTATCACATGCGCTCCCAACTCTCAAATTTCTATTTCCAACCTCTGATTCCAGACTTAAGTATTAACATCTATCTTGAATTTTTCGTATAATTTCTGTTAGAATTTTAAATTCTGATCTTCCTTAAAATCTATGCCTTACCTAATCCTCTCGTCAGCACAAAGTTGTAGAGTAGCAAGTTGCTTATGCCAGGAACAAAGGAGTCATTTTGATACCCTCTTTGCTTTATCCTTCACATTAAACAATCCTCAAATCCTACCATTTAACTCAATATTTCTTGTGCCCACCTACTTCATCTACACTGTTGCCTGCCCAGTCCCAGATACTATCATCTCTTGCCTTGCTCCATAAAATGGACTATTTACTGGTCTTTCTGCATGCAGTATCTACATACTCTAATTCCATTCTCCATGGGTCAGCCTAATGATATTTTATAAATACATAACAATTTCAATTACTTCTCCTTGTTTTCACAATAAAAGCCACAGAGTCTGTAAAGCCTAAAATGACCCAGTCTCTGCATACCTTATCTTTTATCACCACAACTATCTCTCATCTTTCCAGAAATACTGGTCTTCTTACTGTTCTTCTGCCAGCCTGTGCTTTTCCCTAATTAGGGCCATGTTACCATTTGATTCATGCCATTTTACCAGTTTCAAGTAATTCTTTCCCCTTCATCTAGCTCAGTGGTCAGCAAACTCATTAGTCAACAGAGCCAAATATCAACAGTACAACGACTGAAATTTCTTTTGAGAGCCAAATTTTTTAAACTTAAACTATATAGGTAGGTACCTTGTTATTAACTTAATTAGGGTACTCCTCAGGCTTAGGAAGAGCCACACCCAAGGGGCCAAAGAGCCGCATGTGGCTCGAGAGCCACAGTTTGCCGACCACGGATCTAGCTTACTGGTTTTCTCCTCCAATTCTAAACTTCAGAGTTCAGCACGGATACAAATTCCCCAAGAAAGCTTTCCTTGATTACCCAGACTATGTCATCACCCACCTGTCTCTCAGAGTACCAGCTCTGAACACTTCCCACAACTATGAGTCAGTTATTAATAAGTTGGTTAATATCACTTGAGAGCTAAAGTAAATACCTGGATAGTGAGAATCACCTGTATCTTCGTATATGAGAATATAGAACAGAACAGTGATATCTGATATACAATTGTCTCCTATTCTGTACAGATCCTTCCTGGCACCTCCCCACCCTCCCTGTCACGTACACATGTACTCACATGCACAGCTTCAAAATCTTACTTCTGTGTTAACACAGACCAGAGATATGAAGCATCATAGAGACTTGGTAAGAGCAAAGGTTATCAGGTTTCCAGATATAAAGATTCAAAGTAGTAACAAGTGAGAAACAGGGCATCTAGGCCACTGAAAATCCTCACAAATGTCCCCTAAGGTATTAGCTTTCCACCAGTAATGGAGAAGGGGAACGGAGGTTTGTGTTGTTTTTGTTTTAGTTATTACATTAAAGGCTAATCCAACTGGAAAGTGGGAATGTTCAGATTACCTAGAAACTGAAGACAATATAAGAACTAAAGTGTTCTTTAATAGGATGCGGAGAAGACAATACGAACCAAGCGGAGATGTCTTGTGGAATATGTTTCATACCAAAGTAGGTAGAGCTACAATAAATGTCAGGACAAGAGAAATTTAACTGGGCTTTTTTTCCCAGTACCACACTGCTTCTCACTTGGAGAAAAAAAAAACAATTAAAATTGAAAGACATGAACATATAATTTCTTTATCATTTTGGTTTTGTTTGATGGATACAGACAAGAGGATTTAAACTGTGTAAGAAATACAATTTTAAATATATCAGAACAAAACCTGTCACATGAAAATAAATACAGGTGAAGCCTATGACAAATATCAGGTCCCAGTGAAATCAGCATGATAGCCATTTAAGATTCTGGCTTCAAGGGGCTGAAGCACATTAATTTACACAAATTTACAAAGCCATCGGTGCTTATTTTCCTTGTTGAGTTATGCCCCAGGTACAGCGCCAAGTCCCTTCCGCTCCTCCCGAGGACTGTGTGTTTTACAAGAGCAAATACCACTTCGGAAGGATGAAGTGATTTACCTGGTAGTCCTCAGGGCTGAATGCTGTCAAGGACACTGTTCTATATTCCGCCGTCACCCTCCCCAGGAGTCCTTGTGCACGGACGACCAACAGCCTAACTTCTCCGTCCTCCTCCTGCACCGTGACGTGTGGAACAGTGCTTGCAGGCAGGGTCATCGTGTCCTCAGGCTGGGGAGGCAGCCCGGTGGAGAACTGCAGCAAGCCTGGCAGATACAGGGAGAGGCAGGGCATTCTGGCCCAATTTCTTATGGGGAAGAATTGCTTATTCATTGGAAACAGTCTTGCACAATTGTTTTGATCATTTATAAAGGACTTTATTGGCGATTTGATTAACATGCTTTTGACACAAAATGTTTAGTTTTCAGAATGTTAAAAATTAAAGGGTTAATTGTTCTTGTCTCTAGCCAAAAAAGTCTTTAAAAAAACAGACCTAAGTATCAATAAAAAGAATAGTGAAAGGGTATTAAAGTATATATCATCAAACATTTACTCATATTTGGGTCTCTAGAATTCATTCTTGAACTTAAGATTTGTAATACATTTTTTAAATTTAACTATGAAAAGAGTTGAAGAGCCTCCCACTTTTTCTACACAGACCTTTTATTTATCTTTATTGTTGAAAGTATTACAGATATTCCTTTTTTATCCCCCATTCCTACACAGACCTTTTAATAGATATTCTTGCTTTATTCCTACCAAAGAACTATTAATTTTCAATGCATAAAACAGTTTCAGTTTTATTAGGACAAACATCTATAATAGTTCCCCAATTAAGGAATTTATAACTTTTCAGCATAAGACAAAAGAATTTAATATATATTATATAATAACAACTCCACTTCCTAACGCTTAATAAATTACAAAGTATTTAAATTAATTAGATGTTAACTTATCACACTAGGATAATATTTTTAAATGTTTTGATAGCCATGAAGGGAAACACTTTCATTCATTTTAAATAATCCTACATATACTTTTGAAAATATATTATTAAACTTCAGAAATTAATCTTTAAATTTTCCTTCATAAGCAATGTCCCTCAAAATGGGAGCTTAGAAATTCAAGAGCTGAGAAGCAAGAGGGTCTGAAGGAGTTCTACATAAATCATTTGTAAAAAAAAAATCACTTACGAATTTATTAACAAGACCATGTACACCCAGAGAAGAGAGGCTTATTCTTGCAAAAGGTCTTAGTTACCATATGGATGATCACTGGCTTTGATAGTGATATCTGTAGTTTCCTTTTCAGGATCTATACTTGCACCACTGGTGGGAGTTGAACCTAATTTCCCATCTCCAGGAATTGCAGAAACCAATGTCACACGGAAATACTCATTTAGCTCAGGAATGTCATCATCAAGAACATATATATTCAGAACCTACACAAATAAAAATCCAGAGGCATTAAGCAATGAGGAATGTATAAATTATTTATCACTTCCCAGAATAGAATAGCAATTAAATTATATTTGTGTTGTGTGTTTTTTAATATATTTTTATTGACTTCAGAGAGGAAGGGAAAGGGAGAGAGAGATAAAAACATCGATGATGAGAGAGAATCATTGATTGGCTATCTCCTGCATGCCTTCTACTAGGGAATTGAGCCCACTATTTGGGCATGTGCCCTGACCAGGAATTGAATCATGACCTCCTGGTTCATAAATCAAAGCTCAACCACTGAGCCACACTGGGCAGGCTAATGTTAATTTTTCATTAAGAAAGTAATACATGACACAGCCAATGTGCTCACTATCCAAAATAATGTCACTGCTCTTTAACTAAAAGGAACACTCAACAGCCTGATGATTTAAGATGTCTTGCCTCTAGAATGCAAGCTGACAAATGTTGCTATGAAAAGTGACTCCAAAACATCAAGTGTACATTAAAATTGAAGCAATAAATATTTTTCAAGTGTTGATACATACTAAAATAATTGTTCATTTTAGTGAAAAGTGTTTGAAACTGATCAAGGTATAACTAAATGTATTTTTAAAAAAGATAATTCTGATATAGGAAGAGGTCTCATCCCAATTTCACTTACAAAGAGTGTCATTTATTTCTGGAGCATCTATTCAGAAATGCAATGATGGTTCATCAAAAGTTTTGGGTACACTGGAGAGCACTTGTAATTCAAAACAAAAAAAAATCACCCCATTCTTTCCAAATTTAAAAATAAAATGAGATTATAGTTGCAAGAATTTCTCATTGCCTGAAAAAATACCATTCAGAATTCTGCCGTTTTCCATTGTATCAGTAATAACAAAAACCCTGCAATAATAAACCTCCAAGCTATACCACCTTTATTATACTGGGATTAAGGTACACATGAAACTATAACACACATCACACCATTCAAAATCCTTAATTTTCTTTTGCATAAATAAATACAAAAATATTTTAGACCAGCCTGCATGGCTCAGTAATTGAGCGCCAACCTATGAACCAGGAGGTCACGGTTCTATTTCTGGTCGGGCACGTGGGCGGGCTCAATCATGGGTATGCAGGAGGCAACTAATCCATGATTCTCTCTCATCATTGATGTTTCTCTCTTCCTATACCTTCCTCCCTGAAATCAATAAAAAAAAAATTTTAATATTTTATACCCTGACACATACCTAATTGCCTAAATATTTTAAACTGCTTGAATATCAAGAAGCTGCAAATAAATACCAGAACAGATCAGAAAGAGCTTTCCAGGAGCCTGTCAAAGAAACAAAGAAGGTAGGGTTTACCTCTGATCTCTGCCAAGGAAGGAATGTGATAGTGCCACTGGCATTAGCAAAATCATCAACAAGGTAATTAATGCCGTCAGATTCGATCTGCGAGATGGTGTAAAAGACATGGACGTAGCCCAGAGCTCCTCGGGTCCGCTCCACCACACACGAAATGGTGGACCCCTCCTCTGCGATCTGAAATTGAACATAAAATATTTATAATTATATTGCAATTCAGATCAGTGATACAATCACAATGCTTCCATACAAGCCTTTTACCATAATCTTAGTTCTGTGAATTTCTACAACTCCAAGGAGGCTTCTACATCCCTCCAGAAATATTTCTGCCTGCTAAAAAATAAATAAATAAATAACTGACTCCATTCATTGTATCTTGTTCTTTTATAGGGATAAATAAAGCAAACAGAATGATAGTAAATTAACTGCGCATATAATTCATTCATTGATACCTTCTCTGTGCCAGTCACTATAGTAGATACTATGGATACAAAGGATTTTTTGAAAAAAATAAAAGCACAGGTCTTTTCTCTGGATAAGTCTAAAGAAAAAGACAACTCAAATTCTATGAGTGAAGCACAGACAGAACACTTGGGGCAGAAGTCAGAGGTAGAGGGTGAAACATGACATCAGGAGAACACTCCTGGCCTGAACATGATATAATTGAGTGGATCAGAGAGAATCATGTTGAGGGTGGTGTAAGTGCAAGTAGGGGGAGCCTTGAGAAATGCCTGGTGGGGAGAGAATAGTTAGGTCAAGGACATTTATGTCTTGCTTAACTTAGTTTTGACATTTCTGTCATATAAACATAGTCATTCCTCAGTATCCACAGGTTATTTTTGGTTCTAAGACCACCCACACCATTAAACGATTTCAAAATCTGCAAATGTTTAAGTCCCTTATATAAAAAGGTGTAGCATTAGCATATAACCTACACACGTCCTTTCTTATACCTCAAATCATCTCTAGATTATTTATAATACCAAATATAATTTAATGCTATGTAAATAGCTGTTATACTGTATTGCTTATGGAATAGTAATAAGAAAAAAAATGTGTGTTCATATGTTCCATACAGATACAACCACCACTGGCCTACTACAACTGCACAACTACACAGTACCTATCAGCAACAACGTGACTTTTTTTCAAATATTTTGATCCACATTTGGTTGAAACCAAGGATACAGAATCTGCAGAGATGCAGAGTCAACTCTATATATATGCATACACACGTGTTGTGTATGTGTGTGTGTGTTATGTAGAAAACATTTTTATCTAAACACTTTAAGATAGTGCTTATTCATTTTATGGAGCAAGAAGTTGTACTATCTTTTAGAATATGGTCTTCATATGCTTAAATTCTGAGTCTCTTGATTTAGTTTCTGTTTTATGTGAGCAAACACAATTCACTGGAAAAAACTACAATTGAATGGAGATCAAAATATAAATCTTTATATATGTCACTGGTTTTCATATCAATCATAAGCACTCTGATCAACATTAGATAAAGCCATTTCAGTACTGACATTAGGGCTAGAGAGAACAGATTTGAAATTTGTCTACAAACAGGAAGTTAAAAGTTATCAATGAGCATGAAGCACTTGGTGCACCAGTAAATCCTCTGAGTTTTACTGAACATCAGCACTCTTACTCCAAAGTGTGGCAGCAACTCTGGTGCCTCAGAATGAACAAGACCACGCACCCAGGGGCAATACTGTGACTCCTTTATTTGCCTGCGGGTCGACTGGCATGGGGAGCCCAAAACAACCAAGGTTGTCCAATTTGGGAAATACTGAACCAGAGGATGAACTTATCATAATAAGAAGATGATAACAGCAGAGAGATTAAATCATTAAAATATTTTTTCTACTATTAAAATATTCATCTAATTGACTTTAGACTGATGATACAAGCAAATGTTTGGGCCAATATATGAAGGAGCAAAACACCGAATAATAATCATCAGAACCATCATCACTTCCTTTTTCACAAGAAACAATACAAGCCATTACTGTTTTCCCTTTCAAGTCAGGCGGTTGCCAAGTCTTCAGACCAGCACAAGAGTAATTTTAAAGGTTAACATTGAGAAGAGTTCTTAATAATGTATTTTCCTAGAAAAAAAGAATGTACCATTCTGAGCCATGAATTGGCTTTCTCTATTGAAATAGAAGATTAAAGGTAAACAATTACACGTCCAATTAATTTTTTATTTTGCCACATGCTTGGGTGATGATGAGTGATATCAGATTATATCAATATCACTTCTATCTAAAGGAATCTATTCACATAACATATGGCAGGCACTTAAAACCAAACACAGGCCAAGTTAAATAATATTCTCACTTTTACAAAGATGCTCTCAAAATGTCTCTAAATTTTGTCTTAAGTCATGAGTTTATAAACATAAAACATATCCCAAGTATTAGTTATAAATGTAAAATAATGAGACTAGTAAGTTCTATGAATCACTATAAAGAGCAACCTCATTAATTTATAATTAGGTGATATACAAGATTATAGGACATATAAAAATAGGGCAAAAATAAGGTGGAGAGAAAATAACATATAAAGTACATAAAATATAAAATACAGGAAGGCAACATGGGAGTGTGGTTACTAGTCTATAGAACCATCATCTGTTCAGTATAGGTTTCACTTGGGATCCAAAGTAAGCCTCATCAGGGCTCCAAACTGCATACAGGTTTATTCATTCAATCAGTTTTAATTTATTAATCGCCTACTATTTGCCAGGACATGGTATTCCTGGTTACGAGGGAATAAATAAAAAAAATAATTCTCATCTCTTTCAATATGCCAAAGAGTAGATGATGTCATATTCTACATATTTGCATTATTTAACGTGATTATATTTTCATTTTAACTTTGATATTACTTTATAAGTCTATACAAATGTAAAAAGTATAATACAACTCAGAAGTCTTTAAAGGGTGTTTATTGCCTTCAGCATTTTTTTTCAATATATTTTATTGAGTTTTCACAGAGAGGAAAGGAGAGAGATAGAGAGCTAGAAACATCGATGAGAGAGAAACATCGACCAGCTGCCTCCTGCACACTCCCCACTGGGGATGTGCCCGCAACCAAGGCACATGCCCCCGACCGGAATCGAACCTGGGACCCTTC